GCGCGTTTGTTAAGTTAAGACTATATTTGGTGAAACTCGAAAAAAAACACTCTAATTAAACTGTTTATATACAAATGCAGCAGACAATTCGTCTGTGGTCATGTCATGGTGAGTGTTTTATTGCCAGTTGTCAGGAGTTGCTGTTGCACCAAAGTGTCTTCATACCATACAAATCAAGTTTGTTTTAACCAAATTTAGACCTTTAATTGGTAAGGTAGTGTTTTGTAACAGTAATTTTTCTTTTAGTTATAAAAAAAAAACATTTTAATTTATGAACTTCAGGCTTTTAGAAACAACTGCTCATTAGCCAAGCGGCCAACTTTGGTATTAATCTGTAAAAGGTTGTTGTTTTTACTAAATTCTAAACATAGTATCGTAGTAGAGACACATTATGCACAATAAATCGAATTTTGGGTTTAGCGAAGACAACACCCATACAATTATGGAATCTGTTGGTAAAACGAATTTTTAATTATCTCACAGTGTGGAACTACAATCCACAAAAACCTGAATATTCGGGTGGTCCTTATTATACCACCGCATATTCGTGAGATAAAAAATGAGTTTTCAAATTATCTTAGGTTCTTGTATTTGATAAGTTTTATATTAGACACAGTATTGCCAGAAAAATTTGACTCATGTCCCTAAATTTAGGCTGGATATGCCTTGCTGGATATGGAAAACTCATAATTTTTTAATTGAAATGCCCATAGTTTTCCCCAACAAAAAACAAACTGCGTCATGTGGTAGTCAGTGTAAAATTAAAGCAAAAAAAGTGTCTTTGAAAAGCCTACATTTAATTTGTTAATGAAACATAGATGGCGCAATATAACATAATAAGCAATATTATGCTTTTTTACTGCGTTCAACACACAAACAAACAACACAGACTAGACTATTGACTGGACTATGGACTAGACTATAGACTACACTATAGACTAGACTACAGACTAGACTATAGTCTAGATTAAACTACTATAGACTAGACTATAGACTAGACTATAGACTAGACTATAGACTAGACTATAGACTAGACTATAGACTAGACTATAGACTAGACTATAGACTAGACTATAGACTAGACTATAGACTAGACTATAGACTAGACTATAGACTAGACTATAGACTAGACTATAGACTAGACTATAGACTAGACTATATCTAGACTATAGACTAGACTATAGACTAGACTATAGACTAGACTATAGACTAGACTATAGACTAGACTATAGACTAGACTATAGACTAGACTATAGACTAGACTATAGACTAGACTATAGACTAGACTATAGACTAGACTATAGACTAGACTATAGACTAGACTATAGACTAGACTATAGACTAGACTATAGACTAGACTATAGTCTAGACTATAGTCTAGACTATAGACTAGACTAGACTAGACTATAGACTAGACTATACACTAGACTATAGACTAGACTATAGACTAGACTATAGACTAGACTATAGACTAGACTATAGACTAGACTATAGACTAGACTATAGACTAGACTATACACTAGACTATAGACTAGACTATAGACTAGACTATAGACTAGACTATAGACTAGACTATAGACTAGACTATACACTAGACTATAGACTAGACTATAGACTAGACTATACACTAGACTATAGACTAGACTATACACTAGACTATAGACTAGACTATAGACTAGACTATAGACTAGACTATAGACTAGACTATAGACTAGACTATAGACTAGACTATAGACTAGACTATAGACTAGACTATAGACTAGACTATGGACTAGACTATAGACTAGACTATAGACTAGACTATAGACTAGACTATAGACTGGACTATAGACTAGACTATAGACTAGACTATAGACTAGACTATAGACTAGACTATAGACTAGACTATGGACTAGACTATAGACTAGACTATAGACTAGACTATAGACTAGACTATAGACTATAGACTAGACTATAGACTAGACTATAGACTAGACTATAGACTAGACTATAGACTAGACTATAGACTAGACTATAGACTAGACTATAGACTAGACTATAGACTAGACTATAGACTAGACTATAGACTAGACTATAGACTAGACTATAGACTAGACTATAGACTAGACTATAGACTAGACTATAGACTAGACTATAGACTAGACTATAGACTAGACTATAGACTAGACTATAGACTAGACTATAGACTAGACTATAGACTAGACTATAGACTAGACTATAGACTAGACTATAGACTAGACTATAGACTAGACTATAGACTAGACTATAGACTAGACTATAGACTAGACTATAGACTAGACTATAGACTAGACTATAGACTAGACTATAGACTAGACTATAGACTAGACTATAGACTAGACTATAGACTAGACTATAGACTAGACTATAGACTAGACTATAGACTAGACTATAGACTAGACTATAGACTAGACTATAGACTAGACTATAGACTAGACTATAGACTAGACTATAGACTAGACTATAGACTAGACTATAGACTAGACTATAGACTAGACTATAGACTAGACTATAGACTAGACTATAGACTAGACTATAGACTAGACTATAGACTAGACTATAGACTAGACTATAGACTAGACTATAGACTAGACTATAGACTAGACTATAGACTAGACTATAGACTAGACTATAGACTAGACTATAGACTAGACTATAGACTAGACTATAGACTAGACTATAGACTAGACTATAGACTAGACTATAGACTAGACTATAGACTAGACTATAGACTAGACTATAGACTAGACTATAGACTAGACTATAGACTAGACTATAGACTAGACTATAGACTAGACTATAGACTAGACTATAGACTAGACTATAGACTAGACTATAGACTAGACTATAGACTAGACTATAGACTAGACTATAGACTAGACTATAGACTAGACTATAGACTAGACTATAGACTAGACTATAGACTAGACTATAGACTAGACTATAGACTAGACTATAGACTAGACTAGACTAGACTATAGACTAGACTATAGACTAGACTATAGACTAGACTGTAGACTAGACTATAGACTAGACTATAGACTAGACTATAGACTGGACTATAGACTAGACTATAGACTGGACTATAGACTAGACTCTAGACTAGACTATAGACTAGACTATAGACTAGACTATAGACTAGACTATAGACTAGACTATAGACTAGACTATAGACTAAACTATAGACTAGACTATAGACTAGACTATAGACTAGACTATAGACTAGACTATAGACTAGACTATAGACTAGACTATAGACTAGACTATAGACTAGACTATAGACTAGACTATAGACTAGACTATAGACTAGACTATAGACTAGACTATAGACTAGACTATAGACTAGACTATAGACTAGACTGTAGACTAGACTATAGACTAGACTATAGACTAGACTATAGACTAGACTATAGACTAGACTATAGACTAGACTATAGACTAGACTATAGACTAGACTATAGACTAGACTATAGACTAGACTATAGACTAGACTATAGACTAGACTATAGACTAGACTATAGACTAGACTATAGACTAGACTATAGACTAGACTATAGACTAGACTATAGACTAGACTATAGACTAGACTATAGACTAGACTATAGACTAGACTATAGACTAGACTATAGACTAGACTATAGACTAGACTATAGACTAGACTATAGACTAGACTATAGACTAGACTATAGACTATACTATAGACTAGACTATACTAGACTATAGACTAGACTATAGACTAGACTATAGACTAGACTATAGACTAGACTATAGACTAGACTATAGACTAGACTATAGACTAGACTATAGACTAGACTATAGACTAGACTATAGACTAGACTATAGACTAGACTATAGACTAGACTATAGACTAGACTATAGACTAGACTATAGACTAGACTATAGACTAGACTATAGACTAGACTATAGACTAGACTATAGACTAGACTATAGACTAGACTATAGACTAGACTATAGACTAGACTATAGACTAGACTATAGACTAGACTATAGACTAGACTATAGACTAGACTATAGACTAGACTATAGACTAGACTATAGACTAGACTATAGACTAGACTATAGACTAGACTATAGACTATATACTAGACTATAGACTAGACTATAGACTAGACTATAGACTAGACTATAGACTAGACTATAGACTAGAATATAGACTAGACTATAGACTAGACTATAGACTAGACTATAGACTAGACTATAGACTAGACTATAGACTAGACTATAGACTAGACTATAGACTAGACTATAGACTAGACTATAGACTAGACTATAGACTAGACTATAGACTAGCCTATAGACTAGACTATGGACTAGACTATAGACTAGCCTATAGACTAGACTATAGACTAGACTATATACTAGACTATAGACTAGACTATAGACTAGACTATAGACTAGACTATAGACTAGACTATAGACTAGACTATAGACTAGACTATAGACTAGATATATACAATATATAACTATACAAATGTTAGTTTTGATGGAAAAATCGTTAATTTATCAACATTGTCAATAAATCCGAAAATAGATTTTAGTTATGTCTACCTGGCAACTCTTGTTGATAAAATAACAACACTTTTGCACTCTTATAAGAATAGCAAGACAGAAAGGTAAATCAGAAACAAAACAAGAAAATGGTAAATATAAACAAAACAGTGATGAGCAAAACCAAAAAAAAAAAACAAAGGGAATTTTTTATTAAAAAATATATAATTATTAATTTTTTTTCTATTTTTTTGTAAATTTTATAAACATTTTGTTTATTTTTGTATTAAATTACTTTTTTATGTTTTTTTGCTTTAAATTGGTACTTTTTTCTTCCTATTTTTGCGGAGTTTTGTTATTTTTCTCTCATTTTTGCCATTTTCCTTTATGGTTTTATTCGCTCTCTCTCTCGTTGGGACTCATTGAGTGGATTTTTTTCTTCATCAGAGAAATTTCCATTCATTCGAGTTGAAACCGTGAACGAGAACGCAACGTCCCGACGGAAAATTCGTTTAGATAAAATAAAAATCGTGTATTCGTGTGTGTGTGCGTATGTATGTAGAAAAACGACAAATATAATAGCAACAACAATAGTATTATTGTTGTTGTTTTGTCTGCTGCGTGCGTGCGTTCGTTTGGTTGTTTATATGTATGCGTGTCTGTACTGTAAGTGTGCGGTGTATTTTATTTGTTGTTGTTGTGTGAATAAAAGAAATTTCTGTTTTTGTTGTATTTTCCCCAAAATCTAAAGGGAAACAAGAAAGTAAATAAAAAAGAGAATTTGTGTGTATGTTGTTTTTTGGTCGGTCTGTAAAACAAGTGCAAAAGATAAATTAATAATAATAAAAGAATGTTGAAAAAGCAACAATAATAATAAAAGAAAATTGTGTGGATATAATAACAACAACAACAAAAAAAGCAAAGCTTTAATACTTTTAAATGAGTGTGTAAAGAAGGTGTGTTTAGAAAAAAGAAAAAAGATTTAAAACAAAATAACAAAACAGAATTAAAGAAAAAAGAATTTGACAAAAGGAATTTTTTAAAAAAATTTTATGAAAAATGAAAAGTATTTGTTAAAAAATGTTAAAAATTTTAAGTTTCCCTTTGGTTTTAATGAAAGTCTATTGTGTTGTAGTTGTTTTTGGCATTTCGCTTTTTCCAGCAACAACAAACATCAGTGTGTATCGTTTTTGTTGTTAAAATATAACAAGTGAACGTGCGTGCGCCGTATAGCTAACGTTAACGTAACGTTTGGCTCTTGTTGTTGTTGTTGTTGTTGTGTTTTTTTGCCGTTTTTCTTTGATTTTGTTGACGCGTCGCATACCTTTGCACTTTTGTTGTTGTTGCTTTTGTTTGTTTTTCTTTTGTGAATTCTCTTTCATGTCTTATTCTTCTCGTTATGCCAACGTCAACGTTGTAAACATAAAACTCTGCCAACGTTGATGTCTTTTTATCGAGTGGGTGTACAATTTTTGCATTTTTTTTTTATAAAAATTTAAAGTTTTTTAAAAATCAAGGGGAAACCTTAAGAAATTGTTTAAAAAAATTGTGTTTTATTAAAAAAAAAAAATAAACTAAAAACAACAATAATTAACTAACTTAAAAAAAATTTCACCTTTAAGCCATAAATTTCTTTTAAATAAAAAATTTTAAACACGTTTTAAGCCAAAAAAAGAAAAATAACAAAAATTAAAAAAACAAAAAAGATCAAAATTAAAATGCTGAAAGTGTTGACAACCTCAATAAGGGGAAAAATATCTTAAAAAAGTGATTTTTAACCAAAAAAATTAAACAAAAATAAACAAAAATTTAACTTAAAGCTACAAATCTAAAACAAACCTTTCAAATCTTAAAAAAACAACCACTTTCAAAAAAAAATTACTAATTTTAAATTTTGACATCAAAACAAAATTAAAAAAAAAACTTGTCCTAAATTCAAAAAAACCCCAAACCAAATTTAAAACATAAATCCAAAAAAAAAAAAAAAAAATGATTAACAAAAAAACTTGTTTTATTATGGTTTATTAGTTTGTACTTGGCTTTTAAACCAATAAACGTCAAAAACAAAAAAAAAAGCAACAACTTAACCAGTTTTTGCCATTAATTTCGCTCTCTTGACTGTCAACAACCATAAAAAATCCCTTCATTTTTATAAAAATATATGATTTTGTTCATAAATTTGCTTAATACTTTTTATGTTATTAACAAAAACTATTAATTTTGTGGAATTTTTTTTTTTTAAGTAAAAATGTTAAAATTTCTTTTAATTTTGTTAATTTCTTCTTTTTATTTTGTTACAATTTACGATCATTGAAGTTTCTATTTTTTTTCGCTTATAAACAAACAACAACAAAACTAGTAAAGAGAGACTTAGGAAAAGAGTTGCCAGGTAGTGCTTTTTGAAAAGCTGGAAATTTAAAAACTAAATTCGAAATAAAAAAGTCATTTGATCAACTTTCGAAGAACCGAGTTTTTAACGAAAAAGTAAAAGTCGTTAAAAAAAAGTCAGTAAATCGGGAATTTTATAGACCAAAACATGTCTTTATATAACAAAAGTCGCAGCAACTGGAAAAGTCTATAAAATTCAGAAAGAAATGATATTTATAAAATATTAAAAAGTCGGCAAAAAGCAAATTGAAAAAGTCTAAAAGTCGACTTTTCATAAATTGCAAAAAAGTCGACTTTTTGTTTTAGCATAATATTGTGCAGATATGTATGAAAATGATCCAAATTAGCAATGAACTATGTCCAGAAACTTTAGTTTCTCAATATAGAAACGATTATGGTTTGCAACAACAATCCCCAAGTAAAGTAAATCGTCCAACAGGTCTGTTAGTGATCTAGGTGTATATATAAAAGAAAAATGTCGAAACAAGTGAAAAAGTCTATAAAATTCGGAAACGGAAGATATTAAAAAATGACTAAGAGTCGAAAAATCGAATTAAAAAAGTCTAAAAGTCGACTTTTCTAGGAACAAAGTCGAAAAATCGACTATATATAAAAGAAAAAAAGCCAGAACAAGTCAAAAAGTCTATAAAATTCGGAAATAGGTGATATTAAAAAACGAAAAATCGAATTAAAAAAAGGTCTAAAAGTCGACTTTTTATAAATTGCCAAAAAATCGACTTTTGTTTTAGCTATAACACCCTACTAACGGGAATAGAACTTTGCAAACTTTGCAAATATATGTATATCGGATCTGCTGTAAACCTTCTCTACCATTGCCTGGCATTCATCGAAATTATATCCAAATATCTTGGGAACTTTGTTATTCAAGATATTAAGATAACTAATGGGAAAACTCTTAATGAATTACGTTCGCGAATCTGATGTTGTAAATATTGGACTACAATTCCTTTTATCGATCGTTATAGATGATTTTTCCATTAATATTTCTATGTCAAGTAGCGTTCAAGTGGACAATTGCTGTAAAGGTGTTTATTTTCAATCTGATGTAATATAGGTACATACATTTTCCTATCATTTTCTTGGAGGTCATGTTATACCAGATATTATATTCCTTCGGAATACTGCATGGAAAGTTCTAAGGAACAACTTTCAGAAAACAGATTTTTTATAACTCTTTTCATAGATCGCATTAGAAGTAATATACTTCCGTCTATCATTGCCCGGCATTCTTCGAAATTAGATTCAAACATCTAATGGGAGGCAAGTTATTTCAGATGTAGAGTCCTTCAAGAAAACGGATTGGCAATGTCCAAGCCAAGTTTCTATACATTAGTCTCCTTTTATAAACATAATTAAGCTCACAACAGATGCTTTAGTGGTTTAGATTTTTGCTGATCTAGTCCTTTCAACCTAACCTAAAGAAGTTTAAAGGACTAATAAGTGACTACGTCTTAGTACGGACAAACCTACAATGTCTGCTGGAAGGCTTTGAACGGTCCACCATCGCCTCAATGGCAATGACTTGCAAAGAAAATCCTATGATCTAGATTACGAATGGGTGAACCCTGGCGCAATATACATATGTACGTATACTAACACATCATTATTTACTAATTGTGGTCAGAATTTTCAATACTATACCCATGTATTCCACGTTCCTAACGACCACACTCACTTTATTTAGTGAAGTCCAACTAAAATTGCGCAGTTTCTAGCACGTCCCTAATTCCTATGAGGCAACTATCTCACATCAATTCTCTCTGATGGATAATTTACCTCTCTTACGATTTGGGTGTCATCCAAAACGTAAACCCCAATGTCACATCCCCAATAACCATTATAGAACAAATTACTAAATAATGTCTTGCGGGCATTGATCAGACGCTCGTGTCAGACCCAGAGTTAAATGACTGTCCTCAGATTATAGTCTCGGCAGACTAGACTTGGTAGTAGTGGCAACTCTATAACTCCAGATTTCAGTAACACCAAAGAAACATCTCTTAGGCGAAATTATTCGGCACAATATCCCTACTTGAATCGCTCAGAGACTCCATTAGACTTTTTAAGGTAAACGATTCGAAATCAACTTTTCAAAATTAAACAGAAGCTGAAGGAATTGTCTGAGTTCTTAGAAAGAATCAATTAAAATTCCTAGGTTTTCATACACATATGTATGTATATGATTCCATCTTTTAATTATAAGATGATTGATTTTTGGAATAGCATGAATATCTGATTCAAAACTTCGTAAAAAATATAAGATTTTTTAAGCAATATTAAATAGAAGCAAGTTTAGGTATTTTATAAGCTGAATAGAAGAAAGCTTTGATTTCGTACTTTGGCCAGATTTAGCTATAATCTGAAATAACTCCTATGTTGGGTTATCGGCCCTAATGCCCTATTTTTCTATTAAATATACTACTTTTGGCAACTCACTTTTAAACATAACTCTCTATTAACCGAAAGAGTGATGACTAAAAGACAGAGAGAGAGAGCGCGAACTCAAGAGCTTTAAGTTAACTTTCTGTCAAAACGTAGTAAAACAAGTTTTTTTTTTCAGTTACTCTTCACACTACAACAACAACAAACAAAATATTTGTATAAATTTTTTTTTCCTCATTAAGCTCAGCTTTAAATACAATTTAGTATCATTGTAAACGTTGTGAATACAAAGAAACAAATTATTAAGCTTAATTAACAAAACCAAAAAAATTGTTGTTATTAAATTATTATTTTGTTTATTTCGCAGAACGGCAGTTTATACAAACAACAAAAAATTTTAAAATACAAAAAAAAATGTTCACATATCATAAATTATTCTAAAAAAAATATTAAATGACAACAACAAGGAAAAAACTTAAAATCATGACCAATTTATTAAAAACTTAAGACAAAACAAAAACAAAATTATTTTGTTGAAAAAAATCTCTCTTTCTATACTACAATCCAAGAAGAAAAAAAAACGCACAAGTTTTTTTTTACTCTACTCTTCAAACCCCCCCGATCAACAGAAAATAATATTTGACCAAATAAAAACAACAACTTGGCTAAAGAAATTTTTTTAAAAAAGAGAAAAAAATTAACAATTGTATGTTAAATAATAAGAAATTGAAAAAAAAAATATTTATTAAAGAAAAATGTTAAATAAACATTTAAAAATGTTTAAAACAAATAAAATGTTGTTGTTAGAAAATAATATAGAAGCAGCTACCAATAACAACAATTCTAGCTTTAAAATCAACAACAACAATATGTATAAGAATAACAACAAACTTTCTGCAGTCCCCTCTTCAACATTAATGGAGCGGATACAACAAAAATTATCTTCAACATCAACATCATCATCATCATCGTTTTCATTATCTTCATCAGCTCCATTGCAAAGACAACGAAATCTACTCATTGGATTAATTTTAACTATTTCATGTATACAGGTGAGTTTTTTGTTGTTTTCTTTTTAATATTTTCAAAAAGAGTGATATTGAGTTGTGAGCATTTTGCATTTCTGAGTGATTTAGAGTTTTAAAAATACGCAAATGAGTTTCATTAACAATTAAAAAGAGAGTGTAAAACGTAAAAAAGTGATCAAACAAATTTTGTTGGTTTATTCAACTCCGTTTGCTTATTACACAGGTCAACAAAATTTTTAATACATAATGCGATCTAGAGAGTGTACACTTCTAAAGGCGTGAAGCTTCAATCCTTTGAGATTCTGAAGTGAAACATATTCTCGAGAGATCTTTAGGCATTGAACGAACAAATATACATAAGTCGGACGCGGCAAGAGGTCTTGACTATAAGGCGGCCGATGCAAATCTTTCTGAATAGTTTTAAACTACAATTGATGCTGAAGCTTCGCTATAGACTAGACTATAGACTAGACTATATAGACTAGACTATATAGACTAGACTATATAGACTAGATTATATAGACTAGACTATAAAGACTAGACTATATAGACTAGACTATATAGACTAGACTATATAGACTAGACTATATAGACTAGACTATATAGACTAGACTATATAGACTAGACTATAGACTAGACTATAGACTAGACTATAGACTAGACTATAGACTAGACTATAGACTAGACTATACACTAGACTATAGACTAGACTATAGACTATAGACTAGACTATAGACTAGACTATAGACTAGACTATAGACTAGACTATAGACTAGACTATAGACTAGACTATAGACTAGACTGTAGACTAGACTATATAGACTAGACTATATAGACTAGACTATAGACTAGACTATAGACTAGACTATAGACTAGACTATAGACTAGACTATAGACTAGACTATATAGACTAGACTATACACTAGACTATAGACTAGACTATAGACTAGACTATAGACTAGACTATAGACTAGACTATATAGACTAGACTATAGACTAGACTATAGACTAGACTATAGACTAGACTATATAGACTAGACTATAGACTAGACTATATAGACTAGACTATACACTAGACTATAGACTAGACTATAGACTAGACTATAGACTAGACTATAGACTAGACTATAGACTAGACTATAGACTAGACTATAGACTAGACTATAGACTAGACTATAGACTAGACTATATAGACTAGACTATATAGACTAGACTATATAGACTAGACTATATAGACTAGACTATATAGACTAGACTATAGACTAGACTATAGACTAGACTATAGACTAGACTATAGACTAGACTATAGACTAGACTATAGACTAGACTATAGACTAGACTATAGACTAGACTATAGACTAGACTATAGACTAGACTATAGACTAGACTATAGACTAGACTATAGACTAGACTATAGGCTAGACTATAGACTAGACTATAGACTAGACTATAGACTAGACTATAGACTAGACTATAGACTAGACTATAGACTAGACTATAGACTAGACTAGACTAGACTATAGACTAGACTATAGACTAGACTATAGACTAGACTATAGACTAGACTATAGACTAGACTATAGACTAGACTATAGACTAGACTATAGACTAGACTATAGACTAGACTATAGACTAGACTATAGACTAGACTATAGACTAGACTATAGACTAGACTATAGACTAGACTAGACTAGACTAGACTATAGACTAGACTATAGACTAGACTATAGACTAGACTATAGACTAGACTATAGACTAGACTATAGACTAGACTATAGACTAGACTATAGACTAGACTATAGACTAGACTATAGACTAGACTATAGACTAGACTATAGACTAGACTATAGACTAGACTATAGACTAGACTATAGACTAGACTATAGACTAGACTATAGACTAGACTATAGACTAGACTACTAGACTATAGACTAGACTATAGACTAGACTATAGACTAGACTATAGACTAGACTATAGACTAGACTATAGACTAGACTAGACTAGACTATAGACTAGACTATAGACCTAGACTATAGACTAGACTATAGACTAGACTATAGACTAGACTATAGACTAGACTATAGACTAGACTATAGACTAGACTATAGACTAGACTATAGACTAGACTATAGACTAGACTATAGACTAGACTATAGACTAGACTATAGACTAGACTATAGACTAGACTATAGACTAGACTATAGACTAGACTATAGACTAGACTATAGACTAGACTATAGACTAGACTATAGACTAGACTATAGACTGGACTATAGACTAGACTATAGACTAGACTATAGACTAGACTATAGACTAGACTATAGACTAGACTATAGACTAGACTATAGACTAGACTATAGACTAGACTATAGACTAGACTATAGACTAGACTATAGACTAGACTATAGACTAGACTATAGACTAGACTATAGACTAGACTATAGACTATACTATAGACTATACTATAGACTAGATTATAGACTAGACTATAGACTAGACTATAGACTAGACTATAGACTAGACTATAGACTAGACTATAGACTAAGTTATATTATTTTTCGATTTTAAAAAGTGCAAAAGTACTGAAATTTCCATATCTGATCTGGTGGCCTCCGGTAGGTTAGTGTTCTAGTCTGGTAGACCGGAGGTGGTGGGTTCGATTCCCACCTAAGGCACTGGTTAAGGAACGCACAACAGGCCCGATAGAGGCCTAGGTGTATTTCTTCGGATTTGATGTATATACATCCTCCTTTCAAACTAACTAACTAACTGATCTGGAAAAACATTAACTAAAGTCTCTTTTTATTCCAAAATGTTCGAAAATCTAAAAATTATCATGGACACATGGCTATGGAAGGTTCAAAATGTATTTCAAATTATAAAAATATTCTTCCTAACCGTGTATTAACCATATTTATTTGCTAACATTTTCTCTTCCTATTTCACTTTTACTTATTTTAATGTATACTCACTCTGTTTTTTGTCTCTATTTTTTATTTAAAAAACCGGTGAAATTAGTTTTTTATTCATTCTAATATAAATAAAAAAAATCAAAAAGTTTTTTTTTCTCTATAAAATAAACATCAATGAAAACGAAAAAGCACTAACAACAAATGACATAAAAAAACTCGTCATTCGTTACGCACCAATAAATTCCGTCTATACTAGAGTCTGTTTAAAGCAAAAATGTTTTTCCTTAGTATAAACTAAAAAAAGCCGACCGCCCGCTCGACGCAGCCAAATAAATAAATCTTTTAAATACCAAAAGTACAAAGTAGAAAATTAAAATAATTTTGTTAAAAAATGGAATATTTTTCGTTCTTAAATAAATATGAAAAATGTTTGAGCCAACACATTTATAATATGGCTTTTGAATAGAAAAGTTGAAAATACTTAAATATGGTTTATAAATGTTTATAGAATTCAAATGAAAGGTAAATATTTTATAAACAATTCTTAACACGTTTATTAAACAACAGGTAGTGAGTAATGTTTGATTAGGGAATGTATTTGAGAGAGGGAATAAAATACCTTAAAGATCGAAATTTTGCCATAAATTATAGAATTTTATAACTTTGTTGTTATGAGTTATTATTTGTTTTTGTAGTGACTGTAATGCAAAGTAATCAGATCTCTATTCTGCGGCTATACGTTACTGAAACCGGTTTGTGAATGTCCGACTTCTCTTGACTAGATGACGAAACATTCGATTCTGGATCTTCTCTGGATGTCCATTCCATAATAGTCTAATATCTCTGGCCTAGATCTACGGGAGCTGAACTAGAACTGAACTAGAACTGAACTAGAACTGAACTAGAACTGAACTAGATCTGAACTAGAACTGAACTAGAACTGAACTAGAACTGAACTAGAACTGAACTAGAACTGAACTAGAACTGAACTAGAACTGACTAGAACTGAACTAGAACTGAACTAGAACTGAACTAGAACTGAACTAGAACTGACTAGAACCTGAACTAGAACTGAACTAGAACTGAACTAGAACTGAACTAGAACTGAACTAGAACTGAACTAGAACTGAACTAGAACTAAACTAGAACTAAACTAGAACTAAACTAGAACTAACTAGAACTGAACTAGAACTGAACTAGACTGAACTAGAACTGAACTAGACTGAACTAGAACTGAACTAGAACTGAACTAGAACTGAACTAGAACTGAACTAGAACTGAACTAGAACTGAACTAGAACTGAACTAGAACTGAACTAGAACTGAACTAGAACTGAACTAGAACTGAACTAGAACTGAACTAGAACTGAACTAGAACTGAACTAGAACTGAACTAGAACTGAACTAGAACTGAACTAGAACTGAACTAGAACTGAACTAGAACTGAACTAGAACTGAACTAGAA